GCACATTTGTTCACAGATGTCCTCTGTGTTGATTGTGAGAGCAGAGGAAAAACACACTTTGAGCTTTTTCAGAACAAACCCCCAAAACATGTACAATTAATATGTATCAATCTTAAAAGTTCTAAAAAAGAAGAAAAAAGAATTATGTTGTAAAAAATAAAGATATGTATTATGAATTTCTGTTTCCGTAAACTGATATTTATAACTGAAACACCTGTCTGCATTCAATGTGTGGGGACAGTCAGCTCAGATTTGAAGTTAGGAAAAATGGAAGAGGAAGAATAGGAAGCAACAACAGTTCTTAGGACTCAGGAGTCTGTTTTAAACCTACTTACAGTAGTATATGGGCAGAGCCTCACTAAGAATCTCATGGAAAGTCATTGAGGTATGACTAAAATCCAACTACAAAAAAATGTGTTTTGCCTACAATATATAGATCTTTTACATTTTGTTCTTTTCTGGGGTTGTCAATGAAATTTTAACACAGAAGCTATAATTGGCTGGTCCAACATACCTCCAGCTTCCATCACTTGTATCCTGCCCCTACAAGATAAAGAGCATCATGGCATTTCTTATCTGATCCCAGCAAACCATCTCTGCTTCTGGGTATTGGTCCATCTCTGATCTTCATTTCTTCCCAAGCAATTAATTTCATCAATAGGAAACCCAATGTTTGAGTTGCTAAGACTTAGACTGCTCTGAGAAACCCTGGAACCATCAAGAAAGCATATTTCTCTTAGAAATGTAATTCTCAAAGCCCCCATGGAATGTAATTATGCCCTAGACCTGAGGGTAGAAGACTGTGAATGTAAAAAGCTTTCTAACATGAAATAATACAGAGATGGCAACAAAAGATCCAGGGTCCTTTAGAGTGTTCTCATAATGCCCATTTTCTTTGCCTAATTCTCCCTCAAAAAAGAAAGTTTTTGTAAGTTTTATCTTGTGTTTCCTAAAATTAACTCTTTATGAAATCTTAAAACACATCTATACCGTATTGTGAAGGTACATATATTTGAGTTTAAATTAAATGGATCTAC